CACAAACCACATACCTCAGGATATTTTCTTGGTGGCTTAAAGCCCGTAGATTTGTGTGCACTTTCGTACCACCATGGTGCCCAAAAGCCATCTATTGGTTTGGGACCAGCTTCCCATCTGATTATATTTGACCCGAAACTTGTCAGAATGTTCAGACTTATGCATGTATATAACTCTTTGATTTAAAAAAAGAAAAATGTTAAATATAGAGTAAATGAAGCCAACTGAAGAGTTCGACTGAGATGGCATTCGTGCACCTTACCATTGCGGCTTGAAAAGGAATATCCAAGTCTTCGCAAAGGCCGTGTAAAGTGGCCTACACATGAAGACAAAAACAATAAACAGTTGCCAAAAAAATAGCATGAAGGGTAACAAGTAGTTCATATATTTTACAAACTTCTAGCCAGATATAAATAGAATCAATTTGAGATAGTGTTAATAATATCCACTCCAAATCATATAAAGTTCATGCAAAAGTACACACTTCATGTCATCTTTCAAGCCTCAATAGAGTCTAATACTTAGAAGTCCCAAGGACCTGAAATCTTTATATTTCACCGTCACATTGAAGAATTAGATTGTTGAAAATCAGTAATGATCTATGGACATAATGACTTTGAAGCATGCCACATTCATACCTTGCAATTTCCTTCTGTAAAATAGAAAACGAATCTTCTATGCTAGTGTGTCTCTGATGGACCTAATATTTCTAAGTGGTACAAACGAAAGAGAAATGGGGACAAAAGGGGTAATTAGCTCTATGGACAGGTGACATAGACAGTTAGTATAATCTAAATGTCAAAATAAAAGAGAGGATACGAGTTAGTGGGAGGATATGCTGAATTTTATGTGTGTGACTTGTTGGGATGTCCTGGCCCTCGAAGACCAGTTGGTTCAATTTTTCATTCAGTGAATATTTCCTTCTTTTGCTAATTGATACTCTAATTTCTTATTGTTTTGTGCTTGAATGATCTTGATTATTGTGGTTTGTGTGTGTTGATTGGTTGTGATTGTTGAGATTGTTCTGGAAATTGTGTTGTGAGAAGTTGAGGTAGAGAAGGTATTCATCAGTCTCATTGTATTTAACCATTAGTAATGTTTATGATCACCCATGTTATTTGCAGATCTAAAAGTAACTGCTTATTAGTTAGAAGGCATTCCCTCGGACTTGGTAATTAGAAACTGATGTTCAGATGTGTACAGAGTACAAAATCCTCCAATTTATTGTTTAAGCATGATTCTAATTATATAAATGTAGATTATACATCAAGGCTAGATTGGTATAAATGTTGCACCATTGTATATATTATTTCTTCAATGACTTTAAAGCATACAGTAGTGAATACACAAGAAATATTTTGTAAATTTAGAGCATTATAACCTCAGGATCTTGTCGAAGATCAGCTGCATCAATTATGACTGGAGTTTTTCCCAGCTCACAGAGCTCACCATACACGGCGAGCAGATCAGTCAAACCCAACTCTTTAACCGATGGACGAACAAACTTGCCAAATGATTGCTGACATTGCATAACAGATCAAAGAGACAGAGTAAACAAGTGAATTACATAATAAATAAATGGTTTCAAGAATTCATTACTCCACTCTGCTGCTATATGACATTATTTGTATACTTTCAATTAACCGAATATAAGATCAAATGAAGAAACTTAGTCTTACCATTATGTCAAGAGGATTTTGTATCAGTATAATGTGCTTTGCTTTCTTCAACAAATCATCCGGCAAACCAGTTACCCGTTGTTTTACCATATGCTGCAGACAATGATGAAAGGAAAATGAACACCAAAAGAAAAATTACTCCTCTGCTTATCATAAAGCACAATTATCACCACAATCAGTACAAGTGTCAATTCTTGATGAAGTAATTTTATATATTACCTTCCAAAACCGATATTTCTTTTCTCCTGGACCATAAATAATATCTTTTACAACCTTATGTCCATCAGATTCCTGCACTCCAGCACACAACCAAATGGGTGATTTAAACACAACATATTTCCTAAAATTCAAAGAGACAAAAAACAAAAACAACAATCTAAGATGAAAAGTCCCACTAGAACACAATTGCAACCAATTAAGATAAGCAAACGAGTTTAAGAATATACTAAATTTAGATGGAAAAAGCCTCGGCTGAAGATACCATTTTCGACAGAAGCTCCTCTTTATATGGACGATCAACACCAGTCGCCCGAAGAAAAGTTGCATACGGAGGTTCATCAAGCACTTCCATGTCATCCCTCAGAAAACAAAACAAAACACAACACAACACAAACTCATATATCATATCGAAGAAAACAACTAAACGCTCACCAACACTGAATCTAAGCAGAAACCATCGAAATCAACCTGACCAAAGGAGTACATGAGACTAGTGCTGATTGATCTCGGAGCAGACCATGAGTGGATAACCTCAATCCCTTCCGCCATTATTCTTCAAAAGACTCAAATGGGTTCACTGTAACTGATGTTTCTTTCAGGACGGCTCTTATAAGTCTAAAGGCGCACAACAAAATCGAAAAATACTCAACTGGGTTACTGTAACTTTCAACTCAACAGTTAGTGTCAGTTTGAGTTACGTCTAGGAAAAGGAAACTAAGAAAGAGAAAGAACTGTTGCGGCTTGGAGCTGTACCGGGTGCAGACAAGATAGTTACATCAGTATACGTGACATCAACATATCTCTACGTAACTGCTGGCATGTTCGGTCTTTAGCTTAAGACAGGTCTACCTGCATTTCGCTTCAATTAAGAATAGGAAAGCAGCTATTGTGGCTTTTGACGTGACCATAATTGAGGACACTAATTTCAAATACTAACATTTTGGTCCTTTAACTTAGCATACGATCGGATTAACCCTCGATTGATTGAAAATCATATTAAAAAAAGGAAAATACCTTTCTAGAAAATAATGAATACAACATTGCCTTCCCATTGGATGTATCATCTTTGGACTAAAATAATATTTCTATGAATAAATCTAATGGTATTTAAACATGGTCCTTACAAAATTAATTTAAAGACAGACCCTGGTAAAAAATTACTGGTATTTATTTAAAATTTTTTAAAAGAGTTTGAATTACATAAGTATTATTTGTGTAAGAGTAAACGACACAGTCCCACCCAAGGTTTGATGAAATCTCAAGTTGGTACCCCTGGTTACATTTATTTCAGATTCCCACCCTTAAAGTGATGGAAAAGTGTTTGATGTAACAGTAAATGGGTAAATTGGTCATTTTGCATGGACGGTGCACTTTAGCAGATCGCTGCCTCTAACAGTCCTCCAACGCACTTTAGCAGACAATATCCCTGACGTTTTTTGCCCTTTTTCTGGCGATTTTTCCACCCAAAATCATCATTGTCACCACTATTTGAACCCCCATCATCCCCTCTACAAAACTTTACCTTCACAACCCCTCATCACTCACCGATCGCCGGCCACGGAAGCTGTGACATAGGACTTATTTTTGCTAGTTTTCGGCCGTTTTGAATGGCTAAAACCCCAACCACCACTACCATTTGACTCCTCACATCCTCCCCTACAAAACCCCTAACCTTCCCAGCCACGACAGTTCACCGTGTGTTGTCCACCACTTCACCAAAAAAGGGCCAATGAACATGAACTCTCTGTCGGCGAACGACGACTAAATGATTGTTGGGGACATAGGGGTTTTATAGAGTTGGAGACACTGGTTGCAGTGGTGGTGTCCAATTGGATTTTCACTGCCGAAATCGATCGGAATCCGACGAAGAACAACAAAACCCTAAGCCTAATGGCGTCGACAATTGGAGGGGCCAATGAGTCGGGAACCAAAGGGGTTTTGGACGACGGACTACGGGGAAGGTGATGGAGGTGACCAGGGGGTTCGACGCCATTGAAAACAGTCCATATTGAGCAAAAATCGAGAGGGTGTACAGTGACCGAGGGTGTTATTGAGATAATTTAAAAATAAAATGATAAGATATAATTCTACTAATTTAGGGGTTACAATGTAATTTATTAATTTAGGGTTAAGGACATTATTGTAATTGCACCCTCTATACCCTAAAAATTGCTAACAGTGTTATTTTAAAGGTGAGAATCTAAAATAAACGTAATTAGGAGCAAGGTTCTGAAACCCGGACTGGACCGGGCGGTCGAACCGGTCCAACCGCCACCCGCTTGCATTTCCGGTTTAAAGAAAGCAAATAACCGGGATTTACGGTCAAACCGTTTCAAACCGCGGTTGGACAGTTTCACTGTAGCAAACCGACGGTCCAACCGGTATTTAACACATTTCCGGTCCATACCCCCCATCCGGTTTAACACATGAAATGAGAAAAAAAAATTTTAAAAATTAAAAACTACAGTTGCTCAATGCTCAGTTGCTCACAGCCGCAAACACAAACTCACAAAGTCAAAGTGTCAGACTTTAACAAATTTAATTTTCATTTTTCAATTTGCTATTTTGCTTTTGAGTTTTGAGCTACAGATCAGATACAGAGTCGTCTTGCACTCTTGCGGTCTTGCCCCTTCTTCAGTTTTTCATCTTGGATTGCTACTGCCAGTCTGCCATTCGCGATCTCCTCCACTCTCCAGTCTATCACTTTTTCATCTCGGTTTGCAGTAACATTCGCGATCTCCTCCACTCTCCAGTCTATCACTTTTTCATCTTGGTTTGCAGTAACATTCGCGATCTCCTCCACTCTCCAGTCTATCACTTTTTCATCTTGGTTTGCAGTAACATTCGCGATCTCCTCCACTCTCCAGTCTATCACTTTTTCTGTTTTTCATCTTGGTTTTGATGGTTTTTAAACTTTAATTAGGTGGAGAATCTGAATTTTTTTTGCCATTTTTGCGTTTTTGCTTATTTCAGTATACTGATATCAGCATGATATCATGCTGGCGTCACCGGTCGGACCAATCGGTTCGACCGGTCCAACCGGTCGAACCGGAAACCGGCCGTTTGACCGGGTCGGCTTCCGATCCGGTTTTCAAAACATTGAATAGGAGTACCAACTTCGGATTTCGTCAAACCTGTTTACTCTGTGTAATTCCAAAATCTATTACATGTTCAATAACAACAACATTTGATAGGTATCACATCGGTTGTGTTTGAATCTAAGTAAAATTTTAGAACCACGAGCAAACTACCAGTTGTGATAAGCCAGAGAAAGACGAGGATGATGTCAAGTCATACCATGTTTCACTATAATTTTTAAGTTAATTAACAACTGATTAGTGGTCAAACAAAATTCTATTTATTTAATAATTTAAAGGATCAAAATGCTAATATCTGAAATAAGCGTCCTTCATTATACGTGAATATCACATTTTTAATTGACATCTATTGATGTTAAAATATTAAATAAATAAAAAAGTATAAATCAATGTAATAATTGATTTTAATTAATTTGATTCGTATTTTTAAAGGTATGAATGGATATATTAATCAATACATTAAACTAGTGTTAATTAATCGATACAACATTAATAAGATAATATAGATAAATAATCCTTATAATTCTCATAAATCATTTTATCGTGTTAAATGAATTAGCAAAAATTTGTATTAACAATTAGTATTACAATAATCTAACTGTAAATTTATACAAAAATATAAAGTATTAACCACTTGGCTTGTGACCAGATAGCAAAACTTTAGATTACCTAGATGTCTTATGTTATAGTCTCATCATATGGTCAAAAATTGCCTATTGAATATTCTACCATAGCTTATAATAAGATAGATGAAATAGGTGTAGACTTGTAAAAAATTATATTACTAGAAGCGTTTTTTTTTTTTAAACAAAGTATTAAAACATGTTGATTTTTTTATTTTTTTTGTTTCTAAAATAAAAATTATTAGCGAATCATTAAAATTTATATTATATAAATTAATAATTATTTATTATTTTATTCTTATGATATTACATCTAAAATTTGAGATTTTATTATTTTAAGAATAATAAATAAAATCTTGGACTCAATTAACAAAATATAAATACAAGTTGGTACCTGAAAAGTTTGGGAATGACTTTTGCATGAAAATCCAATCCTTTTTTAGTGTGTTTGCTTGGCTGCTACCCATAGTTTGTTAAAAAGACAAGTTGGTACCTAAAAAGTTTGGGAATGACAAATACCCACTTTCCATCAAGTTCTGTTAGTGAATTCCGTCTGCTGAAGGATAGTGTGGTAATTGCAATTGCTTATTTAGTTGAGAAAAAAAAAGTGGACGTTTTCAAAACCAGAAAATTTTTGGTCTCTAGCGGCAGGGAAATGGCCGAGAAATCTTACAATCACTCACCAACAAACCCAGACTCCAACAGTTGGTTGTTGTGCAGACTGGGAGTTGGATGCGGCAAAAGGTCGGACAGGTGGTGGGTGACAATGAAGCAACAAGGTTGGAGCGATGGGTAGGGGTGGAAAAAAAAACCCGAAAACTGAACCGAACCGAAAATTCAGTTTTTTTCGGTTTCGGTTCGGTTTTGGTTCGGATATTAAAAAAAAAAACTGAATATTCAGTTCGGTTTCGATTTTTGACAAAATTAATTTCGGTTACCTGGACCCGGTTTTCTGAATCGAAATTTTAAAAAAATAATTGCATTTTACGTTTTTTATTTTGCAATCCCTAACACAGTCTAACACTCACCCACTTTAGTCTTCATTCTTCACTACTCCAGTCTCCAGCTCGGCAGCTCCACTGCTCCAGTACTCAGATCTCAGACTCACTCGCGCCGGTGCCGGTACTCAGACACTCACCTTAGTAACTCTCAATCTCTCAGACTCTCAAAGTCTCAGTCTCTCACTCTCTCTTGGACTCTCACTATCTCTCACTCTTAGTTCTCATATCTCTGTTCTCACTTCTCACGCCGGAGTCACGCGGTCACGCCTCAGCCAGTAGCCACACAAATTTCACACGTTGCTCACACCACCGATCTTTGCTCACACTATCGATCTTTGCTCACTGATCTATTGCTTAACGGTCGGCAGTCACCAGTCGTGGTCACCATTCTTCTTCCTTCACCAAGTCTCCACGTCGTCGTCTGTTTCCGGTGGGTGAGCTAATCTCTTTGGCTTTTTTCTTTGTATTTGTTGGTGACCTCGCCCACAGCTCAGATATATGATGTCCTATAAAATTTTTTTTTTTAATTATTCTTCTTGTTATGTGTATTTGTTAGTTAGAACTTAGAATGAATGATCTATAATGGGAAAGAAATTGAAGGTGAAGGTGGGAAGGTGTGGCCGTGTGGGTTTTGCTTGTTTATAAAGGGTGGTGAGTGCAAAGAAAGTTTTATACATAGTGGGAAAATTGCACTGAAGATTCTGAAAAAAAAAGTAGGAAGATGTTCTAGACAAGTTGCAGTAACTAGTACTTTGAGGAAGGCACAGGCCATCAAGAACGTTGAGGATTCAGATGATTTGAAAGCAAATTGAGATGGTTTTATGAATAATGTTCTTTTTCTTTTTTAAAGAAATTATTGTTGTTTCTATACATGATTTTGACTTTTTTTTTTCCATGGGAATCTGCAGAAACCAAATTTCTTGTTTTTTGGTCTTACTAAAAAGATGAGAACTACAAGTTTTTTGTGTTACTTCATCAATAAATGAATAATGATTTTGGAGTTGAGAATCAATTGTTATTTGGTTAGAAATGACTCAGTTGTTTGATTTTGGATCTTGGTGTTTCAACACTTATGTCATTAAACCTGGAAAAAAAAAATAAGAAGGACCGAATTGGGCCAAAAAATGCAGCCCATACAGCCCATAATGGTGACCGAATTGGGTCAAGAAAGGTTGCCCATCATAAATTTTAATTAACCGGTTTAAAAACTGGTTAACCAAACCGAATTTTCGGTTCAGTTTATAATCGGTTCAATTTATAATCGGTTCAATTTATTTTTGAAACCAAAAACCGATTCGGTTCAAACAACAGGTTAACCGGTCCGGTTAACCGGATTTTTCCACCCCTAGCGATGGGGGAGCGGCCGGCGACTAAAAAAACACCATAACATCAACACAAACACTTCTAAAGAGTATCCCACCGATCAAACACCAAAAAACCAACAAAACGCAAAAGAAAAGATTGCAAAACACGGCTGTCTCGCAGCGGCAAATGCAAGTCATGGCGGCAAACGGCGAGTGGGGAGGGTTAATGGAGAGAAGGGTTTTGAAGAGGAGAGGATGGGGAGTCGAACGGTGGTGACAGGGGTGGTCAAATCCGGTTGGGGATGGAGGAGGATGGTGATGGGAGGTGAGATCAACTAAAAAGGTGAAGGAAAATGGAAAGAAAGCCAGCAAAAATGCCGACGGTGGTGGCTTTGAAGAAGAAAGATAGATTGAAACAAACTAAGACCGAAAAAGAAAAAACAACAAAAACCCAGAAATCCAGATTCCAAAAAATATCAGGAGTTTGAAAGAATAGAACCATAGAGATCTTTAATGGCAAAAAAAAATCTGAACTTATAATGCAGCATTCATAGTGTAGAAAGAATTGAGTTGACATTCAATTCACAATCCCACTGATTGTGATTAGTTGTCATGAGTTGTGAAACGCTTGAATCCATACCAGGAATTAAAATCGTTTTTGTGTTCATTGTCAATTACTAATTTTATAAAATATCCCTCAAATCTAATTTATATTCTGTTTAGGCATTTGCCCGAACAATTACCTAATGCACATGGAACTTTCAAGCTTTTAATTGAAGAAGAAACGGATGAAATGACATAATTGCCCTTTATTTGTTTTTAAATTTACTATTTTATCATTCTTCAGTTAAACTTAACCAATAAATATTAACAAAAAGTAGACGTTTGTCATTTCCAAACTTTTTGGTACCCACTTATCTTTACGGCAAACTACGGGTAGGTACATGTAATTCGGCTTGTTTGCTTTGTACAAAAAGCCAGGACTAATTTGATTAATTTAAATGCTGGTTTTAGCCGGGTGATTGGTTGGGGTGACTTTCAAGCTTCACCTTTGGCTTTGGGATTCCACTAATTAAATTAAATTCAAAACACATTGGGATTCCACAATCAAATTAAGAAAATATTAGTGCTGGTTGCTGGGCATTAAATTATCAAGCTGTACTCTGCCGTAGCATTAACATTTTATTATTATTATTATTAATTATTCAAGGATTTAGATGCAAAAATTGAGATTATAGTAAAATCCTGCCTCCCCACCTACGAAAACTACAATACCAACAACTGGACTTGTGACCGAATGACAAGATTTCAACTATCTAGATAGATTACCCAGAAGTCTCATGTTCAAGTCTCCACAATGACCGCCTATCACATTTATGACTTTCTAATCAATTGAGCCTATAACATGTTCAATGGATCCGTAAGAATAAACCCCGGTTATCCAAAAAAAAAAAAAACCTACAATATCCCTTGTCTTAAACAGCAGGCCTAGACATTCAAAACCCAGAAAGAGGTACAAATAGTATAGTTAAGTGTTGCAAGATACAATAAATAATCTAATATTTGATCGTTGATATGACTGCATGTAAGGAAGCAAATTGAAGGGCCTAAATGTTTCAGTTATATCTGTAATAGCAAGATTAGCCTGACTTGCTAGTGCGAGAAAGCAATTGAAGGTGTCGATATTACGAATGACCGATGCGATATAAGCCACTGGGCCTTCACTTGACCTAGTGTTGGGAGCTTCCTTACAAGCATCAATTCCGTTATGGTTAGAATGGCATCTATCCAAGTCATTTGCACACAGAATTTTCCCCTGATTGGTATCATTGACTCGGTCATGACCATATTCGCTATCTCGGATTGAGCCTTTGCAACTCTCTTTTTGTGTCGGAGAATCTGATTTCTTTTGACTCAAGAGAATGGATAAAACTCTGACGAGATGCGGGAGGCATGTTGGATCATAAATTACATCTGCACCCAGACTGCCAAAAGAGAAATAAGAGAAATTAACAGTCGGTAATATTAATAAGGGAGTAAGACAGTAAAATAACTCACTCTTGTATAAACTAAGAGGGTCTCTCACCATTAATTCAAATTTTGATTGATAGAGCAAATTAAATATAACTCTTCACTTATTAATATTAACCCGCTTGCCTTCTTTTACACCGGCAAGCCTAGATGATTACCGGATATGCATGACAACTATAAATTATAAGATGGCTAAACTACTCACACAATCTCTGGCATAAAGCCACGGACCTCACTTTCTGATGCAGATTCCCACGGCAGATGAATGCATTTCACCTGAAATTTACAATTAATTTCAATATTGGTCACATAATCCTTTTTTATTCTATTAAGTGGACTTCAACTTCCTAATACGATTCCAAGAATCACCTTTTATCTACATGTAATGATACTTTGGTTCAATTTCCATGTGCCCACATTTGATATTGAGGCACAGAGTTTATAGGAAACAGAAAAATGTTTGGTTATTCCCCATGGCATCTTGACAACTCAACATGAAGGGGAAAATTAAGTATCATTTTATTAATTTCAAAAGTAAACAATTAGCTAAGCAGCAAAAAAAATGCTAAGACAACGAAAGTCTAAAAAATGCAGCTTACCACATTTGAATCTTCATTTTCAGAGAAATCAGTTTCTATGCTTAATTGGTTCAACTCCAAATTAGACCTCAAGTTAACTAGTGTTGATAGGTCACCATCAGTCAATATAACCTGCATCAAATATATGTTTTTTTCACAGAAACAGCAATGGTTAGTGAAAATTTAGATTACCGTTTGAAGAAAAATAAAGATTCACTTGTATTTAATCCAAAGGAAGAGCCATAAAAAGATGAGACATTGACCCGCACCCAAACCCCAAATCTGTAACTTAACTGCAGCATAGCATAATGTAGTATACCATCCAAGCAGCTTCATCATAGAAAACAGAAAGATCCATTTTCAGTCGCTAGATGTAACTTAATTGTAGCATACCATAATATAGTATGCCACTCGAACAGAAAATACAGAAAAATCCATTTCCATTTCCAGTTACTAAACTTTTTCACTTGATCCCCTCAACAAAGTTACTGCAAGTAATGTTTACTACTACCATCAAGCTTTGACCATCAACAGGGAAACCAAGAGGTTATAATTCATTCAAAATTATTCTTTTCATAGGTAAGCCAAAAGTAGATTACATGTTTGACCCGTATCTGTCCACACAGTAGCTCTCTCACTGTGTAGTCATCAGAAGCCAATTTCATTACTTTAGGAGCATAAACTATGGAAGCAACCAATTTTAGAAGGATCCAATCCATAATGCTCCACATACTTCTTGATTTTATGCAACAGCATCTTAAGCTATGAAAAGAACAATACCAAGTATGCATGGGAATTTGAATAATATACCTTTGCAGCTTTTGCTTGGGCAAGGCACACTCCAACCAAACCGACCCCTGAACCAACCTGCAAAAATGAAAAAAGAAACAAAGAATCAAAATTTGTGGTTATTAAAGACTAACAGAAATATAATACTAGCCGCATTCACAAGAGTATAAAAAAAAAAGGCATTAACTAAACTAGCATTGTGAGATACAAAATGTGTACATGGAAAGATGGAAAAACCAGTCATAGTTGTGTTATTTATTCTCTGCTTTTTCTTTTACCAATATAATCATATGCTTTTCAAAAAACTTAGTAATAGAGTTCAACCACGAGAAGTACTCAATAAAGTTATCAATTGATTCATTAGCCTTGGCAACAATTGTAATTTCACACAGAGAAAACATATTCTTGAACAAATAACTTACCTCAAAACAAGATTTATTAGAGAATATTTCTGGAAACGAAAGTATGATCTCTGACAAATATAGGCTGGAGGGCCAAATTGAACACCTGTAAGTCAATAAGGGCTAAGTATACTAGTCTGCATGCTAAACACAACTTCATGAAACAACTTTATGCAAACAAGAAACGACAAAGTAATAACTGTGCATAAACACAAATGTAAAATGATTTTTAAATTGCCAATATTTACCATATCAGTGACTAATGCAAGCAGATATAGAGTGCACATCGTATAGGAAAGAAGAAAAGAGAAAAGAAAGACAAGCCTTCTGCATTATTGAAAGAATCACTAAAAAAAAATCTGAGCACATATTTTACTCATACACAAGGAACAACTTGAAAAGATTGATTACATAATCGTCAACAGAAGAACAGTGTTGCAGATATTAATACAACTTTACTAGACAGAGATAATAGAAAGAAAACAAAGCAAGATCAACACTGAAGCATACCCTGTATCTCCTTCAAGCATGTTGAGGGAACATTGAAGTGGAACGATCAGTTTCCTTGACTTTGGACAACTTGGGAGATCAAACGTACCTAACCAAATCATCAACTAAACTTATTCAATGATGCAAATAAAAGGTAAGTACCAATCAAAGATGTCACATAGATAATAGTTATTACCATCTGGAAAAAGAAAAGTAATGTATTTACAGACTCTCTTATTTTTTTCAGCCAAATGGTCATCCTAGAGAGCCAAAAAACTTGTCAACCATTATTTAAGCATGAAAAGAAACACAAATACTTCAATGAAAAAAAAAAACAATAAGAAAATCTCCAACCATGAGCTCTACCTTCAAAGAAGTCATAATGTAAGCATATTGTTCGTATAGTTCATCCAGAACATCACCGTGGTTTGACTCAACTTCAACAATGAGCTTCTTCAGAAAGTTCTTCACATAAGGCACATAACCTTTCCCAGACTGCATAAACAATTCAACTGAACCAAGCTTTAGTTTTAAGAAACTAATCAACAATCAAATCAAGACAACAACAGAATAAAACAACAAAAAATTGAGCTCAGTTAAGAGTATTAATAAGCTTAACCAAGAACGTGTTAGAGAGAACTGTTATTAGTGACTGCTTTAAACTTCTTGACCAGAAAGAAGATGGTGGAGTTTTTTATATTTTCAGCGTAACCGTAAAACATGAGAAAAAATTAAAATTATTGTTAAGTGTTTCTTTGATCTGAATAATAAAACTATGCTCTCAGATGAACAATCCCAGCAAGATTAATAAACAATCTATAGGCATCGAGATATAAAGAGAAAAACAAGAAAAAATAAAAGAGACAATCGATTACAGTGGTTCAGTAATCAAGGCCTATGTCCACTCTTCAAGGCAAGGTAGTATTTTATTGAATCAACAATATCCTTAGATTTACAGATCATATTAACCTCTAAACCCAATAACAAGGAAGAATCACACATGATTAATTGATAAACCCTAGCCCCCTTGGAATCCAATCAACTCTCTGTTAACCAAGGGTGAGTTTATACAATCAAAGAGTCTCAACATCAGCTTCCACCTAGAATTAGGCTTCCTTTCAGCCGTAGGATGAAGATCAAGATTGATTTTAAAAGAATGGTGCGACATTGCAAACAAGAGAGAGCAATAGAATTCGTTTTGTTGTAGGTGAATGAATGCCACGAAGACGAGCTAAAAGTGGTCCTCCATTCTCCAAAACAACACCATTTCAATAAGCCTCCATATTTGACTTTTCAAACATTATAAAAAGCTTGTTGACTTGGCTAGTGACATGGCAAAGAAGTGCCAAACTCATCACAATTTATTCAGCATAGCCATTACTGAAGCTGCAAAAGAAGCAAGGTAGCTGATGGGTCTTGTAGGAGAACTGGGAATTGTTCAAAAGCTAGTGGTGATACAAAGCGACAGCCAGAGTGCTATTCACTTGTGTAAGAATCAATTTTTCCATGAACGTAATAAACACATAGATGTACGGCAAGGGTTAGTTTTCTGGTATGTCAAAGCAAGTACCAAGGTGGAGAATTGTGATGAGTTTGACACTTCTTTGCCATGTCACTAGCCAAGTCAGCAAGCTTTTTATAATGTTTGAAAAGTCAAATATAGAGGCTTATTAAAATGGTGTCGTTTTGGAGGATGGAGGACCACTTTTAGCTCTTGTCTTTGTGGCATTCATTCACCTACAACAAAACGAATTATGTTGCTCTCTCTTGTTTGCAATGTCACACCATTCTTTTAAGATCAATCTTGATCTTCATCCTACGGCTGGAAGGAAGCCTGATTCCAGGTGGAAGCTGATGCTGAGACTCTTTGATTGTATAAAAACTCACCCTTGGTTAACAGAGAGTGTGAGAGAGTTGATTGGATTCAAAGAGGGCTAGGGTTTATCAATTAATCAGGCGTGATTCTTCCTTGTTATTGGGTTTAGAGGTTAATATGATCTGTAGATCTAAGGAATATTGCTGATTTAACGAAATACTACCTTGCCTTGAAGAGTGGACATAGGCCTTGACTGCAGAACCACTATAATCGACTGTCTCCTTTATTTTTTCTTGTTTTTCTCTTTATATCTTGATACCTATTGATTGTTCTATGGTTGATTGTTCATTAATCTTGCTGGGATTGTTCATCTAAGAGCATAGTTTTATAATTCAGATCAAAGAAACACTAACAATTATTATTCCTTTTTGAGAATGTATATATCATATTAACACCAATTATACAACTAAATTCATCTCCTGAAAGAAAGCCTATCTAGAACCAAATTTTTTCTTCAATTCCAGATTCCTTTTGTAAACACAATTGATACAGACAAACGCAGCCTTAATAATTCAAAGATCCTCAAGCTATAAAACATAAATTTTAAAAATAAAACAAATAAATAGAAAACTTTAACAGAACATAAACAGAGTATATTATCACAATTTAACAAAAATAATAACACTTACAGCTTCACTAATACAATAACTCCAAATAAACCTCTGAACTTTCTCCGTCACCGATCCACCACCACATGCTCTGCGCTTCAGAAAATTAAACAAATTATACAAAAAATTGAAAATAATTAAAAAAAGAGCTGAATGTGAGCCGAAGATTACCTCGCAAGGGAGATGAGAGAGTCCGCTGGTTCCATAGCGAGAAAGGCGGAGACGAGGTGAAGCCCAGGAGGAGCCACCGGGTCGAGCTCTTGGTTCGCCATGGCTGCGGGATTCAAATCTGTGGTTTTGGGAGGGTTAACTAAGTTAGCAGCACCGAGGCTCGTCTCGGCTCGAGCTTACGCGAGCAATGGTCAAGAGTCAAGACTCTGTTATGAAGTATCTCGCAAGTGCTACACGACACCGTTTTCATTTCTCTGTTGTTACATTACATGTAATTAATTTCAAGGGGAAAAAACTTTTTGCTCTTGAAGTTTTAAGTTAATTACACAATGCCCCAAACTGTTTAGAAAATAGCAATGACAACCAAAATGATAACTTATGTACGTTTATTAAAATGAAGAGTAATGCTACAGACACTTACACCACTTTTTTATATAACTTTTATTATATCATGATGTGGCATATGCTATAACCACACAAATTTTATTACAATATTAAAAATTCAAAATAATTAAAAATATGTGTGGTTGTAGCATATGCCACATTATGATGTAATAAAAATTGTGTAAAAGAATAATGTAAGTGTAACACTACTCTAAAATGAAAGTATTGAATGACATGTAAGTAAAGTCAGACAAAACACTTATTTTTTTTATAGATTAAATTTTTTATTTTACAAATTAATTAAAGTTTTAAAAAATCCCAAATCCCTCCCCCGAATCCCTGAGCCCTCGTATTCTTCTCCTTTCAAATGCGTAACATTGTTCTACAGGTTTCAGAACAATATATCAAAATCAAAGTCCAAACAAGAAGATAAAGTGTTCAAATCAAACTGTTCAAAATCAGAATGAGGTTCGTTTCTTGGTTTTCTGAGGGAAGAAGTTACCGAAACAGGAACAAGAAGAACAAGCGAGAGTGTGCTGTCAAGTCACCATGGACCGTCTTTATTATTCGAATCAAATACGTTTATTGGCAGTGTGCAAGAATTGGAGAGATTCAAGTACTTATAATGTCAAATATGCAGATAAATCGCCATGGATATTTGCTTTTCGTAACAACTTATTTTATCTCTCTCTCTCTATAACTCTTCCTTGCTTCAAAATACGGTTGGCTTCTTTTCTTGAAAGCAACAAATCGTTGTTTCTTTCAACTATCGTTCACTCTTATTCTACTATCCTTTCACTGACAAGACCATCTAATTGCCGCCATTAAACTGGACACACTTTGCGAAGAGAGATAATATTCTCTGCCACTCCATCTTCCCCAGAATGTGTGGTTTTCGTAGCGAGACATGATCCCAGTGGAATTCGTATTATAAGTACATGTCGTCCCGGCCGAGTTTCCGGATGGTCCTGGAAAATTTACCGAATCAAAGTGGCTCATTCATTGGTGTTATATAGTGGTCTCTCTTCAGGTTCATTGGTGTCCTTCAAGGTTGCTACAAAAGAGTTGAAAATGTATGGACATGATCCGATTCCAGGCGCACGACATGTACATCAGCAAGTAAAATATTTAATCGGCTGATCGAATTTGATGGGCGTCTGTTGATAGTTTTTGTGATGGCTCGGGGAATCGTTGGTTTGTTCATTGGTTTGATTGGTCGAAGATGAAGTGCCTTCAATTAAGAAGCCTTGGTAACAAAATGGTGTTGATGGATAGCAGTTCTATGTTAGTTCCAGTTCCAGTTCCAGTTCCAGTTGCAGCAATGGGGGAGGCAAGTGAATTAGCAAACACTATAAATGATGTTCATATTGTTGGTTATTTTTACTCTTGGTTTTACAACTCAACAAGAAGCCATGACTCTTGTCCAAAACCTTGTTCTTGGATCAGCCGATCAGCTCATGAGCGCATATGGATTCAACCTCCTCAAAACGATTGATTATGTGATATCATGATACTTCTCTAAATAATTTGATATCTTAATTTGTTAATATAATTGGCGAATTTTGATGAATTTGTATGAAGTTAGATAAGTTTAATCAATTTAGGGTTCTAGATATTAGTTGAAGAACGTGCAAACTGGTCTAGACACTCCGATCACCAAAAAAAAAGTTTAGGTAATATTGTTTATTGATCTCACTATCTAGCAGGACTAATAATTATATAATGGACAAAGACATAAATTTATTGAGTTCAAATATGGATAACTATATATTACTGTGGTATTTTAGATTTCCTTTGAAAGATAAGTTCGGTATTGATGATTGAGAATATGGTTGAATATATATTAATATGATTTGAAAGATTCCCGATACTGGATTAAGTATCCTCAATTTTGAATCGTATTTTAGTTTTTGAAATTATCTTCAAATTTCAAACTAAATAAATCCTTAGTGTTTAATAAGAACTATGCGACAGCAAGAATATAATCACATTCAATTGTTCTTCCTTCTTCAAAGATACTCCCATTATCACTTATCGTTGATAGAACTTTCACATCCAAAATGAACCGTGGTAGTGCTGACAAGTCATGGTCAGATCTTTTGGTGGACATACTAAGCGTAATCGTGAACATACTAAATGTGCGTTTAGTTCAAAGAATATTATATTATGAGATAATATTGTATTACTGGAAAGATAGATTATCAAAGAATCTTTAGAAAAATGTGTTTGGTTGGTTGGAATAAATTGATGGGTATATTATAATAATATGTTTGGTTGGAAGGATAAATGAGTGGGTATATTATATAGATTATTAAATTGCCCTCATTTTTAAATAATAATATAATATTATTTTTATTATTTTTTTATTCTATTATTTTTTAATATATTTCTAAACACCCCAGCCATATAAAACTTTAATTTGTAGCAAAATCACCCATATCCACCCTAAGCTATTGCCGACAGCCAACCACCACCGCTGGCAGCCACCATAATGGCGCACTACCGGTCAGATCTAGCTAGTCGTGAGCCGATTAGGCCTAATCTGGCCATGGACCTTTGATCCATGGCCAAAAACGGCTAGATTTTATGGCCAAATCTTTGGCCGTGAAATGACTAGATCTAGTCGTTTCCGGCCATGGATCACAAATCCATGACCGAAAACGTCCTTACCGGTACACGACCAGCAAAATCCCACCGGTCTTGCCCCAATATGATGACTTTCGCCAGCGGCCAACGTTGGTGGCTAGCGGCCGACGGTGGTCTTGGGTGGTTGGGGGTATTTTGTTAACTTTTAAACTTTTTTGTAACTGGGATGTTTTAGCTATATTTTCAAATGTAGGGGGTCTATGTAATTGTTATTTGGTAGACATACGAGGGCAAATGTGTCCTAAATGATAAAAGATTAAGGGCAAATAGGGTCAAAATTAAAATTACCTCGGTAATCTTATATTAACACATGCACCCCTTTGGAAGGTAATCTAATTACCTCCTATATTATCAATAGTAAACACTATTTACAATAAAAAATTACGTAATATTTTATCACTTAGACAACCAAACGAGGGAATCTTGAAAATTAAACAAAGATCACAGGATTAATCTTATATCACCCTGAATCAAACGCAACCTAAGCGTAATCATAGATCAAATCCGTTTTGGGATCTGCAATAGTTGGCTGTTGAATACTTATGCATACAACTTTATGGTTGGATCCATGAGAATACATTAGCAAATAAAGTGCATGCTTCCTTCTCGATCTCATGCCAGCCTTTATTCTCTATATCAAATATGTCCAAAAAGAAACGATTTCCCCAATACAGTATATATGAATGTTGCATTTGCTGGGACAAAAAAAATTCTCAAGATTTGGGTTCCATATAGTGGTGAGAATTATATTGGCATTTGCCGCAAAGTAGAGACCACATGGAGATGGACCACATTTTGGTTTAAGGGTGAGAAAGGAAAGAAGGTGGAAAATTTGGAATATAGTGATTATGAATTAAGTAAATTTAGAGAGGCTGGATATGAGATAACAAGGTCAGTTCAGTTGCAAATATAAAATATTTGGAAGGAGTGTTGTATTGCTCTTTCGATGAACCAAGAGAGATAGGTGCCTTCAATGTTGCTTTAGAGGAACGGAAAACGTATCCACATCCTGCTTCTATAACTCCGCTGGGGTCTTCTGATTATTTATTTGAGTTTATTGGTATCCTCTTATTGGCACATTATATACTTGAAGATCATGATATGTAAGTGGCGATTTTTCATACTTGATCGATCACAGATGAATTGGTCTGAGGTTGAAGTTAACAAGTTTCATTGCAAGTGTTGAAACAATAATTATAGCAGCAGAGGAAGAGGCGAGTGCATTAGCAAATAGAGTGCAGGTTTGCTTCTGTTCATCTCTTATTCCATGTCCAGAAAGAAACAATTTCCCAAATATAAATGAATGTTGCTTTTTCTGGGACAAAAAATTTCGCAAGATTTGGGTTCAACCTCCAAGATGGTAGAATTTTTTTTTTTTTTTTTTTTTACCTCATCGGCTCATCAGATCAAGTACTCTTTGTTATTATGGCTTTCATGTTTTTATTTTATTACACATATATAATAGTTTCTCCTTTTTTTAAATCAATTCAATTTTCTACTTTACGACTGCTTTATGAATATAGTTTTTTT